TAGGTGTGACAATTGAGTAGGGAAAAGAAGATCAACCTTCGATATTATTTTTTTACAGTGTAAAAGTAGCCACCTGTTTTGATTAGAATCATAGAATCACTTAGGTTGGAAAAGACCCTTAAGGTCATTGAGTGCAACCATTAACCTAGCACTGTCAAGTCCACCACTAAAACATAACCCTAAGTGCCACATAAAACATCTTTTAACTACCTCCAGGGATGGTCACTCCACCTTCCCTGGGCAGTGAGTTCCAGTGCTCAACAACCTTTTGGTGAAGACATTTTTCCCCATATCCAGTCTAAACCTCCCCTAGCACAACTTGAAGCTGTTTCATCTCATCACTTGTAACTGTTGTTTGAGAGTTGACTGGAGAGGTTTGGAACTTAATTTAGAGGAAATGGAAATGTAAGAAGTGTGGACATTTAGATAGTCCTGTTATCAGCAGAACTTGTTTGTTGCTGTTCTAGATAGGGAAGTTCCCTGACAATTTTTATTTGCTCCAAATCTTCCCTAGTATTTGACACCAGAGTAAAAGAAGTAAAAACTTTCTAAGAAGTTTACAATTCACAAAAAGTTTGAAATGACAAGGAAGATTTATAAACTTAAAAATACTCTCAGTGAAAATGATAAGTTATGAGTTGCAGATTTCTGAGTAAGAATATTGGCTGAAGGCAGCTTTATATTAGGAGTATTGATTTTTTGTCTCTGTTAAATCACAGGATACCAAATTAGTTGCTTTAGTTTTTCTACTGTTCAAAACTATGGCTATTGCTATCAATATAAAACTTCAGCAGATAGCAAGTTTATAGCAAAATCATGGAAAGGATTATGTCCAGTTTTAAAGATGTTGCTCCTACAGAAGTCAATGAAAGACGTGCCCAGGACTTTGTTGGCAGAATTGTGCCTTACATTCTCAACATTTTTCCAGGTAGTGTTACTGCAGACCCAACGTGTTTTATGCATCATGTCAGATATGTTAGCTCATCAGTTTACACATTACTGATTTTCTCTGTAACAAGATGAAAATAAGCTCATTCTTCTGGCTTGTTTGTAGAGAGCAAGATTAAGTATCAAAGTTATTGCTGACAGAGGTCTTCATTTTGTAATTCATTTTGTTTTAAAATTTCTTAAATATTTTAAGAAAAACCTGTTAGACTTTTATTCGCAGTAAGATTCATAAATAAGATGGGTAAGAGTCAGATTTGAAAACATTCTTTTCTGCCCTCCTTTTCTGATAGTACTCATCACCGTGCCTCTCTCCCTTGAACTTACAGTTGTAATTTCTGATTAAACTTCCTGCACCACAGCCTTAGTCATGGCTAGGGTCAAGTTCTGGACTCGCAGTGCAGCTTATCCTTTCCCCAGACCCTCCAATTACAATTTGTGATCACTTTCATCATGTAAAAGTGCCCAAAAGCGGACACTGCTCAGACAGGAGAACGTAATGGAGCCAGAGAGAGAGAAGCAGAGCTGCAGATCTTGAGGGACTGGTAGGAAAGGTTTTGGTTGTTGCTTTTGACCATTGATATTTGCTAAAAATAGATACTGAATCCTATCAAGCCTTCTCATTCATAACTGTGTAACAACATTTTATCATTAATGAATGGGTTGCTCTCAGGATATTCACACTTTAAAGAGAAAAATACCTAAGTGTTTTGGGATATGAACTGTGTCTACATTTTGGCTATGCCATTTCAAATCTATTGAAATCTTTTTTATTGTCATTTCTTCCTTTTTTCTTTTATTTTTTTCTTCCAAATCCTGCCATGCATTTTCAATAGTGAAATTTTCTTCAGGTTTGAGGAAGAATCCTGTGCATAACTGTAGGGCAATTTATAGTAGTAAACATTTTTTGTAACTCTATCCCGGGACATCTAAGACTGACAAAATTTGTTGTAACTACTAACAGCTGTACGTCATGAGTGCTATACATGATACAGAATTTGTTGATGTTCTCTGAGATTTTGTAGAATTTGGGATTGATTCAGGCAGGTGACTTAGGCTAGGTTTCAGAGTGTGGGGGCAGCTCTGTAACATGAGAATAGCTGTGTGATCCAGCAGATGAGGCATTTGATTTGCTATTTGGGAAGCCAGAGCTTTATTGAATCTGCTGATACTTTGCTGTGTAACTGGGACAAACCACTTCTCTCTTATTCATCCTGTTTTCCCATGGAGAGGTGAACGGTAAATGGTAGTTCAGTGGAAATGTTGTATGAGAGTGAAAATGTTTCCCTCATGATGCACTTTGAAACCTGGGATTGAAAAGTGTTATGTGAGATTACATGGGCTGTATATGAACAGCAATGTAGCTGGGTTTCAATGTACAAAATCAAATGGTAGGAATAGATTCTGAACACATTGCTTTCCTTTTTGGTGAAATAACTGTTTGATGAGCAAGAGAAAAAAGCCATTGTCTTGAACTGAAAAGATAGGAGTTTGACTTAAACAATAAATAACGATGCAACTTATCTCTGTTGCTTCTAACCCTCACAGCAAAAAAGCAACAAAGTGTTTCTGAAGCAGAATGATAGGAATGCCTTCAAAAATATGTAGAACAAATAGGTTTATTAATTATTTAGCTCCCTTGCAGGTAAAGCTAGAAAAAAAGGGGTTAGTATTAAAGTAATGAGTACATATTTTAGGAGTTGAACACTATATCACAAATTTTTTGTGTTTTAGCTAGAAGAACAACACCCCTTTTGGAATATATTAAAAATAGAAAATTAGAAAAGCAGGTACGTTCAGACTTTTGCCTGAAGTTCAACATTTATGTTTCACATGGTTTTCCATTGGACAATTCAAAATGAATCATTTTGAACTCTTCAGAGAATACGAGAAGAGAAAAGAGAAGAACGAAGGCGGAGAGAACTGGAGAAGAAACGTCTGCGGGAGGAGGAGAAAAGGAAGCGCAGAGAAGAAGAAAGACGTAAAAGAAAAGAAGTGGAGAAGCAGAAGAAAATCTCTGAAAAAGAAATAAGGATCAAGGTACCTTCATGAAAACATAATGTTCTTCAGTTGAAATTAGCCAGAAGTTGCTTTGGTATCTCACTATTTATTTAGTGCACTACAGTATAGTGTGGAGATAGCAGACCACTTCTGACTGGAAGAGAAAGTAATGTAGGACTTCGACTAAGTAACACTGTTTGAAAGTGGAACTGATTGCCTTAGATACAACAATGTGCTGATGAAGTTATGGCAGGTAACTCAGGTATCTTTATCCAGCACTGCTGCGTTCTGTGCTGACATAACCTAACAGAACCAAATTGTTCTGTGCCGATGTGTTGGAAGATTATTGCAAATATGGCTTTAAGACTTCATGTCATGTAAATCTTAGTCTAGCCATATCTGCAGAGAGTTTTTAGTGTTTATGCTCAGAATTTATGTATTTTAATAGTATGCTTTAACCAAGTTATAACAAAGTCTTGCTAATTTCAGGCTGCACTGCTTTTTAAGAGTCTGAATGGATGTGCTTTTAATGGTTTCACTTAGGCAGGTGTATTTTGTGCTGTTAACTCTGGACATTTAAAACCTTATTTGTCTAAGATGACATAGATACAACCTGTTCATCCAAACTAAATTTTGTGGTATCGGAAAAGCTTTATAGGCTGTTATGAAAAGGAAAATTGGTATAAGAGGCTGTAGCTTAATGCAAGGACACATAGACTCACTCCAGATCTTGTGGGGAGAAGCCACAGACCTGTGTATTTCCTTTCTCTTTTCTGCCTGCATAACAGTTTCCTTCACCTGGATGTATAAAAATAGTTCTGAAGCCAAATCACAGATTTTCATATCTGGGCATAAAAAAACCCACTCTAGAAGTTCAGAAGAAAGGGACTTGTTCCTTCAAATGTATTCCTCAAAATGGTTGTTCAAAATACCCCAGTATTTATGATGTATCTTTGGTAACCTTGAAAGCTAGCTCTGTCTCTGACAAAAGAGGAAAATGTTACCTGAGAGAAACATTAGAGAAGTTTCAAGTGTTGGAGAAGAATAATTTGTGCTCTTCTCAGAAAAACTGGTGAAATGAAAAGACTCATGAGAAGTTCTGCTTATTCTTGCTATGTTAAGAGATACGGTCCTTCTGTAAAGATTATTCCTGTAATGCTAGACATGCTCAAACCCTGTGTGGGTTATTTGTCATGAAAGATAGAGACTTACTGAAAATCTTTTATCTCCAAAGTGAAAACGTAATGCAGTCGTCTCTGTTAATGTCATAATATTTTTCTCAGTCTCTATTGCTGTCAAGGTGTATTTATACTAAGGACATACTTCTATATGACAGTCTATCCCAAGTAGTTCACGTGGCACACATATATAGTATTTCAAGGAGTGAAGTATTAATCCTGATCTCTTTGTGGTATGGTAGACATTCTACTTCTTATTTAATTGGCAGTAACATTGAGCTCTATTATCTGATCTCTTAGAAATCGTAGACCATAATAATGTCTTTATGTATAAAAGTCAGGAGAGAAGAGTAGGTAAGAGCTTTCTCCAGTATCCTCAGCATATTTAAAAGCATGCAGTTGAATGCCTGTTAATGACTTTCATTCCTCAGCAAAAGGAAACTGCCATTTTTAAGTAACTTTACATAATAAATAAATAAAACTTTGTAAAATATATTCCTAGCATTTAAATAAGGTATTTTCAATATTAATACACCACCAATATATTTAATACATTGTTGAAATGTTTGCTATAACAGAGGAGAGTAATTTTACATCATAATATAAATAAATATCCCTTAGCTTCTCAAGAAGCCTGAAAAAGGAGATGAACTGGCCAGTGAAAAGCATAAAGAAAAAGGTGAAGAAGCTGACACTGAGGAAACCAAATGGGATAAATCACCTGCATCTGGGAGTATAAGATCCAAGTCTTTGGAGGGTTCACTAAAAGACCTTAAGGAAAAGTAAGTAATGTTTCTCCTTTAGGCTTCAATTTAGATCCTAAATGCTTTCATCTCAAGGCTTCAAGATGATGTAACTGGTGCACTGACTGGTGTTTTGTCAGCAAATAACTGATTTCATTCTGTGTGTGAACAAATCTCTCACTGTCCCTTTTGTAAAAGGTTTTCAGTAACAGCTTACTGACCTGGTGGCAGTATTAGTGGATGCAATTTGTTATTTGTGAAATGTCTTGAAATCCCAGATTGGAAGGATTTCTGCGTGAAATGCATTCAGAGTTTCATTGTTATTTCACCTGTTCCCCATCAAGAGCTCAGGTAAGGCCTTACTTCCATTACTGATGTCAGACTAAATTGGCTAAGATGCCTTATTTTTCCAGGTGTTAAACAGAATGCTTTTGACTGTGCAGGTACAGTAAGTGCTACCTTGTCTTTCCAAGTGCTCATTTCATCACGATTATTAGTGGGTGTGATTACGTAGCAAACTATGAACTATGTCAGCTGGCTCAAGAATTAATATTGAAACTACTTTGTCACTGACTCAGAAATCACTAATTAACTGTAACTTGTAGCTCTACGTACAGTAGACTGAATTACCTGTTTGAAACCATGTTTTAAAAGCTCAGTAACAATAGCTTTCTACCACAGGTTAAAACCTCAGTAGGTGCGTGAATGTACATAGTCACAGAGGGATTTGAAACTCTACCAAACAGAATTACACTTCCATTCCCTTTACTTCCATTAATTTCTGCTTTCTCTTTCTCTGGCTGCCTAACTTTCTCTTGTATCTATACTTTGTAGTTGCTTACCTCACCGCTTCCTCTCTTGCCTGCCTTCTGCTATGACTGAAATTTAGAAAGCTACTTTAACCACTGTTGAACTGGAGTTTGTATCCCCAGCACCTGCCCACCTCCAGGAACATTCATTCCTTCCTCACCCACAATAACAAGCAGGGAAAGA